TCACCGCAGTGTAAGGAGCAGGAGCAGGCAGTGGGGAGTGTGGTAGCAGCTGCGGCTGTGACTGGTCTGCCGGTGGAAACAGTAACGGAGGAGTAGTACCTACCACAGGGAAGTCAGTAGCACCTGGCGGAAGACTGAGAAGGTGGCGAAGAGCACCAGCAGCTCCCGTACCTCCAGCACGAGCAGCTCCTCCAATACCCCCAGCAACACCTCCAGCACCAGTAGCACCTGCACCTCCAGCACCACGAGCTCCGACAGCGCCAGCACCTCGAGCACCAGTAGTACCTCCAGTACCTCCCGTGTCAGCAGCTCCAGTAGCACCTCCAGCACCTCCAGCACTAGCAGCACCACCTGCTCCGGCAGCTCCAGCACCTCCAGTACGAGCACCTCCGGGACCAGTAGCTCCAGTACCTCCAGCACCGGCAGCACCTCCAGTACTAGCAGCACCTCCAGCACCTCCAGGCCTAGCAGCTCCAGTACCTCCAGCACCAGTAGCACCTCTAGTACCTCCAGCATTACCTCCAGGCCTAGCAGCTCCAGTACCTCCAGCACCAGCAGCACCTCTAGTACCTCCAGTAGTACCTCCAGCACCTCCAGTACCAGCAGCACCTCCTGGACTAGTAGCTCCAGCACCAGCAGGACCGTACCCTCCACCACCAGGACTGCCTCGCCGAACGACCCACGCACGAATCGCCTGCGGCGAGAGCGTCTCAAGTAGAGCAGGCTGCGGTGGCTGTCCAGCTCCAGAACCTCCAGTAGTGGTAGCTCTAGCACCTCCAGCACCATAAGCACCTCTAGTACCTCCAGCTCCAGCACCTCCAGCACCAGCAGCAGCTCCAGTACCTCCAGCACCTGTAGTACCTCTAGTACCTCCAGTAGTACCTCCAGGCCTAGTAGCTCCAGTACCTCCAGAAGGACTCGCAGCACCCCCAGAGTCAGCACCCGAAGTCTCAGCACCCCCAGAGTCAGCACCCAAAGTCTCAATACCCCCAGGCTCCGTACCCTCAGGCTCAGTACCCTCAGTCCCAGCACCCGCAGGCTCAGTGCCCTCAGTCCCAGCACCCGCAGGCTCAGTACTCTCAGTCCCAGCACCCGCAGGCTCAGTGCCCTCAGTCCCAGCACCCCCAGGCTCAGTACCCTCAGTCCCTGCACCCTCAGTCTCAGTACCCTCAGTCCCTGCACCTCAGTCTCAGCTCCAGTGTCCATTGCAGAAGGCTGCAGAGGCGGGAAACCGGGGGGGGTAGCCAAACGAGGAGAGCGGACACCCCCAGACGTACCACCCCCAGGCCCAGCTCTAGCAGCCTCAGCTCCAGAGTCCACAGCAGCAGGCTGCGGAGGTGGCGAAGACGGCCGAGGCGGGAAACCCGGGGGGGTCTCTAAGCGAGGAGTGCAGCGAGTGGTCGCCGTGTCGTCGGCGGCGGTGTCACCCCCCTCAGCTGGGTCAGAGGAGTCAGAAGAGATCTCCACTGGCTCATCCAAGGGGGGTGGGTCTACCTGAGACACACCTGAGGGAGCAGGACCCTGTGGAGGAAGGGGGTCTACCGGGGGGGGACTGGTACCAGGAAGAGAGGCGAGAGGGGGACCGGGTGGGACGCGTGTGGGTGAAGTCGGTAGTAACAGACCGACTCGTCGAAGGTGACGTCCTGAGAGGACAGAACACGACGCGAGGCAGGGTGGTAGAACCGCCAGGGCGGGGCGTCGGTGGGGAAGCCCAGGAAGACACAGTGGAGAGTGTGAGGAGAGAGCTTGCTCGCTTTGGTATCGCGAACAAGGGAGAGCGCGCCCCAGACCCGAAACGACGACGCATCACCAGGCTGTCCCGTCCAACGGATTATGGGCGAGGTCTCTGGAGCAGAGACATGGGGCCAGAGGTTGAGCTGATGCGCGGCGTATCGGACCGCAAACGGTCACAGGAAATGGGGAGCAGCCGCATGGATCATGGAGGTACGAGAAACCTCCATGATCAGGCCAATGCGACGCTCAGCGATCCCATTTTGCTGCGGAGAGGCCGGAAGCGTGAACGACTGGGCGATGCCCTCGTCCTGACAGAACGTCTCAAGGACGCCAGAGGAGAACTCACCACCCCTGTCAGAGTGTAGACGCAGAACTGGAAAGTCCCGCCGAAACCGCTCGCGCAGCTGGTGACGAGTAGTACGGATCCAGGGGATAAGGACACCACTGACATCCGCCTTGCGCCGCAAGGGGAAGACGGTGGTGTAGCGTGTGTAGTCATCAACAACCAGCAGGAAGTAGCGCTCCTGGTCCGTTCCACCGACTGGGGTCGGGCCCCACACGTCCAGGTGGAGAGTCTGCAGAGGAGCAGTGGTCGGAGGAAACTCCGAGGAGTGAGGAGTGGCGCACTGCCGCCCCTCGACGCAACAAAAGGCACGGCGGGGCATGCGAGCGCGGCAAGGGGGGCAGGGTCCTGGGGAGGCCAGAGACAAGGAGACGGGAGTGCATGCTGCGTAGACGCGGCAGGGAGGGGTGACCGAGACGGTGGTGCCAGCGCTGAGTCTCGTGCGTGAGTACTCTGCACGAGCAGGACGCAGCTAACTGACCCGACGCAGACGCCCGACTCGACGCGGCCACCTGACCTGACTCAGCCACCTGTGCAGACGCAGTGGTCAGTGTGTACAGACTAGACCGAGGCTGTCGAGTGAACGTAGCCAGGTGACGGCCAGTCCGGGAGCACGTACAGATCGCCACACGCTGCCCTCCAGGAATAAAGGTATCAACCCAGACATCCTGAATGGCAGCGTTGCTCACCAAGTTCGTCGAGAACGTGGGGAGGTGGAGACCTGACAGAGAGCCGGAGGGGACTGCTGGACAAGGGAGGACCGTGGAGGCTCTCGCAACTACTGGGCCCCCAGAGGGGTCAGCCGGTGAGACTGGGACAGGTGCTGTGAGTGGTGTGACTGTGGTGCAATCACGAAAGAAGCAACGTGACGCGCCTGAGTCAAGCGTGAAAGTGTGCAAGACCTCAGCTGAGGCAGGACCTGTGGCAGTAGACGCACTAGCACCTAGAGCGTCGACAGACTCACGGGCACCTAGAGCTGCAGCAGACTCACTGGCACCTGGAGCGGCAGCAGACTCACTAGCACCTGGGGCGGCAGCAGACTCACTAGAACCGAGAGCAGGAACCTCTACACAGCCAGGGTCGCATCGCTGAGAAGCACAGTCGCGACGTCGCTTAGGCCACTTAAAATCAAAACCTCCACCACCAGGCCTACCTTGCTGAAAAACCCACTCACGAAGCTGCTGAGGGGTGGGGTCGTCCTGGAGAGGCAGTGCTCGCTGCTGTCCACCCCTGGCCGCAGCAACTGCCGCGATAGTGGCCATGACAAACAGCGACGATCAGGAGTAGGTCCAGCACCTCCAGCTCCTCCAGCACCAGCAGCACCTCCAGCACTCCCAGCAGCACCTCCACCAGCAGCAGCAGTAGTAGTAGCAGCAGCAGTAGTAGTAGCAGCAGCAGGGCGGCTCAGTGGGGCTGGGCGGCCGCACCTCCAGCACTCCCAGCAGCACCTCCACCAGCAGCAGCAGTAGCACGAGTAGCAGCAGCAGCAGCAGCAGTTTTTTTTTTTTTTTTTTTTTTTTTTTTTTTTTTAGTGTTTAGGGTTGCGCACGGCCACGGGCTGCAGGGGCGACGCGCGGCTCGGCAGGGCGGCGCGCGGGCTGCAGGGGCAGCGCCCACAGGCTGCAAGAGCGACGCGCAGCTCGGCAGGGCGGCGCGCGGGCTGTAGGGGCGGCGCGCGGCTCGGCAGGGCGGCACCCAGACTGCAGGGGCGACGCTCGGCTCGACAGGGCGGCACGCGGGCTGCAGGGGCCGCGCCCACGGGCTGCAGGGGCGACGTGCGGCTCTGCAGGGCGGCGTACGGGCTGCAGGGGCGACGCCCGGCTCTGCAGGGCGGCGTACGGGCTGCAGGGGCAGCGCCCACGGGCTGCAGGGGCAACGAGCGGCTCGGCAGGGCGGCGCGCGGGCTGCAGGGGCAGCGCCCACGGGCTGCAGGGGCGACGCGCGGCTCTGCAGGGCAGCGTACGGGCTGCAGGGGCGACGCGCGGCTCTGCAGGGCAGCGTACGGGCTGCAGGGGCGACGCCCCTGGGCTGCAGGGGCGACGCGCGGCTCGGCAGGGCGGCGCGCGGGCTGCAGAGGCAGCGCCCACGGGCTGCAGGGGCGAACGCGCGGGCTGCAGGGGCAGCACGCGGGCCACAGGGGCAGGCACGGCTGCAGGGGCAGCACGGTCGCAGGGGCAGGCACGGCTGCAGTGTTGTACCCCTTGTAGGCTAACCCACTATAGCCTAGAGAGAACACAAACATACAGTTTGACAACATCTTCACCAAGGCCCTTCCGCGTGGTGACCACCATAGATTCTGCTCGCAGCTTGGCCTTGTTCAGGCAGGTCCTCGTTTGTTGTAGACTTTCCGCTTGCTCTGCGTGTTCTGTTGTTTATGTAACTTTATGAAACTCTTGATTGGTTTTGTGGCCGTTTGTCCTAGAGGCTGGCTAGTTATATCACCCTGAGTTGCATGTCTTGTTTTGTTGTTGTTGACTGGTCTTGTGACCATTGTCTCCCTTTCTAGTTTTGATGCTGCTCACTTAGCCTATGGGGTGGGGATGTGTCAAGCTATATATGTGTTAGATTTGCTAAGCTATGGTGGGGTACATCTTAGGGGGTACTATGGTACACATTTCTCGACATCCTACTTGTACGGTATCTCACTCTCCTAATCACAACATTCCACTACTACTCTGAGATAACCCTACATGAGAAAGGGTTTTTCTGTTTTTTTACTAGCCACATCCTATGGTTGACCAAGCTGTTACACCACATGATCCAGAAATGCTTGTTCTTTCATTGCTACAATGGCATCCTCAGTCGAACTTAGGCATGTTATAACCCCAAATAACGAGCGACTTGTTTGGTTTATTGAGCCACAATCTGTGATTGAAAATGTCCATATCATCTGCCATCACACCCCCACATCTTGTCGACGCTGCTAAGAGGACATCAGCATAAGAGCACACAAGCTTGTCAAGGATTGCCACAACACCTGTGAGAGGGATCAAACAGGAATGGAGGCGGGTAAAGGAGGGAGATGGGCACTCCTTCAGGAACAGCTAGAGCACCAACATGAGGGCACACAAGCTTGTCAAGGATTGCCACAACACCTGTGAGAGGGATCAAACAGGAATGGAGGCGGGTAAAGGAGGGAGATGGGCACTCCTTCAGGAACAGCTAGAGCACCAACATGAGGGCACACAAGCTTGTCAAGGATTGCCACAACACCTGTGAGAGGGATCAAACAGGAATGGAGGCGGGTAAAGGAGGGAGATGGGCACTCCTTCAGGAACAGCTAGAGCACCAACATGAGGGCACACAAGCTTGTCAAGGATTGCCACAACACCTGTGAGAGGGATCAAACAGGAATGGAGGCGGGTAAAGGAGGGAGATGGGCACTCCTTCAGGAACAGCTAGAGCACCAACATGAGGGCACACAAGCTTGTATGGAATTGCCAGCACACAGGGATTGAAACCAGGAAAGAAGGGGACAATTAGTGGCATCGAGTGCGGATGAGTGGGGTTAAGTAGGGTTGAGTGGGGACGAGTGGGGACGAGTGGAGATGAGTGGAGTTCAGTGGGTATGAGTGGGGATGAGTAAGGATGGAGGAGATGAGTGGGGATGAGTGGGGATTTTTTAGAAAAAACATTGTCCTAGTTTTCCAGCTCACCAGAATCAAATCTTGCGACCCCTGGCAGCAGCTCGTTGATTGTGACGGTGTCATTGATTTGCTCTCGCATCCCTGTCATCTCCTTGAATGCCACGTCAGCAACACCAGTGCCATTGCTGCGTCGGCTCTCATTGCTCCCGTTGCTCTCATTGCTCCCGTTGCTCTCATTGCCCTGTTTGCTCTGGATGGCAAACTGCTGCTCCAAATCTTTCCAACGTGCTGTCTCTCCTGCTGCTACAGATGATACAGATGCCACTGCTGCTGCAGCTTCTGAGACCCCTGCATCCAACACACTTGCTCCTCTCCCTTCTTCTCCTTTCCCCCCAGCTCGCCACTCTCCACCCACCCTGCTCTTCGTCAAGACATCAGTAGCAACAAACATGGTTCCAACCGATACCCATCCCCGAACCACGCTTGCTTTAGCCACGGACGAGTTCACACACCACTGCAGCTGCTGCTCAAACTGCTGCTCCACCTGCTGCTGGTTCTCCGAGCCTGGCTGCTCCGGACCTGGCTGTTCCGAACCTGACTGTTCTAAGCCTGGCTGCTGCTCCGAGCCTGGCTTCTCCGAGCCTTCCTGCTGCCCTGCTGTAGCGTTTGATCTTTGTTGCTCTGCTTCTCCCTTCTGCTTGGTACGACAGGGAGGTGGGGAGCGGGTGTTGGTGGGGAGGGCGGGGGAGAAGAGGGAGTCAAATTTCAAAAAGCCTAAAAAATGAGGAGCTTTGTCTTTGCTTCTCCGCTTCCTTCTACTCCTTGTGCAAGGGAGGAGATGGGGCGCAAGGAAAGTGGGGAGCTCGGGTGGGGGAATGAACATTGCACATCTTTCCCAGATTGTTCTCAGCTTTTCTTCCTTCCTTCCCACCCAATTCCCCCTTCTTTCCTTTCCTTCCTCTTTTCTTTGCTTCGTCTCTCCTCTCTCTCTTCTTTCCTCTTCCCCATTTTTTCTGTGTGCTTCCCCTCTATCCCCTCTATCCCCTCGATCCGCCAGTTTTCACTTTCCCTCTTTTCTTGCTTTCCCCTTTCTTCTTTCTTTCCCCTCTTTCCCCTTTCCCTTTGTTTCCAAACTCACCACTCTCCACGCCATCACGTTGGGTTGCAAGTGCACTGCCATCACAGTCTTATTTAGAATACCAAGCAGGCTTGTAGCGAGAACATGCGGCTGCCTGTTATGGTAAGCAGGTAACACATCCCCTTTTTTCTCCGTTACTTGTGCTCCCTCTTCCCCCTCTTTCCCCTCTTTGCCCTCTTTCCCCTATGTCCCGTCTCCCCCCTCGTTCCCCTTTCCCACCTTTTCCCCTTTCCCTCTCATTCCCCCTATTCCATCCCTCCCCTTCCCCCCTATACACCCAACTCACCACTCTCCAAGCAATCATGTCAGGTTGCAAGCGCACGGCCATCACACTCTTATTCAGAGTACCGAGCAGGCTTGTAGCGAGTACATGCAGCTGCCTGCTGTAGGGCAGAGAGGCCAAGGCGAGGCTGCCTGTGGGTGGGTCGAACTCGATCATGCCTGCTGCTGCCTTCACCCACACCACTACATCCTTGTCTTGCCTGTGCAAGTAAGGTGGGGAAGACACATTAGACATGTGAAAGCACGAGATGACGAGTGGGACGAATCGAATGTAACTAGAACTACCACGTCCTTCTCGGTGGTGGGTGGGTCGAACTACATCATGCTGGCTACTGCCTTCACCCACACCACACCACCACGTCCTTTTCCTGCCTGTGCAAGTTAGGGGGGGTTGGGAAATGGGAATCAAAACAAGTGGCACGAGACAATCATGCCGGCTGCACCCTTCACCCACACCACACCACCACGTCCTTGTCTTGCCCGCATATTCACCAGAGATGGACATGAGAGAATCCAAGTGTAAGAGATAGACATGCCGAGTGCAAGGGCATCCAACCCAGCACGGGGCTGCCTGTGGGTGGTGGTGGGTCGAGCTTGATCATGCCTGAGAATTCTCAAAAGTGATTTCAATCGTGCCGCTGCCTTGAGCCACACCACCACGTCTTTGTCTTGCCTGGGTTCAACAGAGGGGAATAGGGGAATGAGATGTGATGGGACACAATACCAACGCGATTTCAATGAGACAAATCAAAGGTTGATGACTCACTGAGGCCTTGGGCCACATCACCACAGTCCTTGTCCTGCCTGGGTGGACACGAGCAGGTGGGTAAGAGGGGAATGAAAAATGAGGTGAAGTTTTATAGTCGTAAGATCAAGGCTCCACACTTTCTTGCATTCAGCCACACCATCACATCACGTCCTTGCCTTGCCTTGGTGGATTAGAGAAAAATGTGCCTTGGGGAGTCACCATACCTGCATAGCAGCTTTGGACCCACCATACATGCTTGGTAGCGTTGGACTCACCATACCTACAAGACCACTGAGCACTGCAGCTAAGAACCGCGGAGTCGGGGGGTTCAAGTCTCCTGAATAGGCCGCTGCATATCTTTGGCACATGTGAGAACTCTCAAAAGTGAGGACCCACAGAGCAAACAGAAAGCTGCAAATCGGGAGGTGCCTGTGGGTACCATACTTGCACTACAGGTTCCGGAGGTGCCTATGGGTACCATACTTGCACTACAGGTTCCGGAGGTGCCTATACCATACTTGCGCTACAGGTTCGGGAGGTGCCTATGGGTTACCATACTTGCACAACAGGTTCGGGAGGTGCCTATGGGTTGCCATACTTGCACTACAGGTTCGGGAGATGCCTATGGGTTGGAGGTGCCTTTGGGGTACCATACTCGCACTGAACAGAACTTCCTCGGATTTATCACACCTGCAGGACAGTAGGCTCGGAATCACCAGGCCTGCATCAGCACGTGCACGGCATCGGCTTGCAGTGGGAGGTTCGGATCAAGCGGTGTCGTTCAGACTTCCCTGACAGCATATCCGGTAGGCTCGGACTCGGACTCACTAGGCCTGCAATGCAGGCTCGGACTCACCAGGCCTGCAAGGCAGGCTCGGACTCACCAGGCCTGCATAAGTACTTGTACAGGATCGGCTCGCACTGGGAGGTGCAGGTCGAGCTGCGTCCTTCAGCTTCCCTTACAGCATACACAATAGGCTCGGACTCACGAGGTGACTTTTGAGTAGACTCAAAAGTCACCTAGCTTCCCTTACAACATATACAGTAGGCTCGGACTCACCAGGCTTACAAAGCAGGCTCGGACTCACCAGGCCTGCATGAGCACTTGCACAGCATCGGCTCGAACTGGGAGGCGCAGGTCGAGCGTGTTGGAGGGGAGAGGCACGTGCCCCATGGCGTACGGCAGCAAATGGCCTATGATGGCTGATAGTGGCTCTGCAAGGTGAAGGCGGGCAAGGGAGGTGAGGAGAAGAAAGTGATGAGGAAGGGAGGTGAGAGAGAGTGCTGGACGGGAGAGGCCCGTGTGAACCATGGTGAATTTATGGCAGCAGATGGCCTATGATGGATGAGAGGGGTTCTGCAAGTGACAGGGGGGGTGGGGAGAAGGGTGGGGAAGGGAGGAGGAAAGGAGATGAGAGCGTTACGAGGCATGTGGCCCATGGTGAATGGCAGTAGGAGGCCCATGCTAGCCGATAGGGGCTCTGGTGGGAACAGAGGAGGGGGGGAAGGAGGTTCAGGTGAAACGTGTTGGATGGGAGAGGTCTGTTGCCCATGGCGTATGGCAGTGGGTGGCCTGTGACGGCCGATAGGGGCTGATGGGAAGAGGCGAAAGGGAGGAGGAAAGAGGGGAAAGTCCGGAGGAGGAGGGGAAATGAGAGAGGGGAAGGGAGAAGAGGGAGAGTGTGCAGGTTGAGAGTCAAGACAAGAGAAAGGGCACTCACTCACGGTAAAGGAAGGGGGTTCACTGCAGGTGCCATGACTTGCACCCACGCACATACCACCTAGTGGTTCCTCAGCCCAGCTATTCTGGGGGGCAACATACAGGTCATTACAATGGAAGGAACCCCCACCACAGAGAAAGCAGGTGAATACAAGGTGAATACAAGGCAAGGCAAGGCACGCACCATGGAGAAAGGGGGCTTGCTGGGCATGCCGCGACTGCACCCACACAAAGCCCACCGCAGGGCTTCTCAGCCCAGCAACGCCCGAATTCGAGCCACTGGTATCAGAGCCGTTGGTTGGGGGAGAGGCAGCAGCAGCAGCAGCGCGGGCGAGCAGCAGGAAGAGGTCCGGCGACATCCAAGCCACGTGGGGCAGGCTCGGCAGCACTTGGGGCGACTGAGAGGCTTGGGAGGCATTGGAATGGCTCTTCTCGGGGCTGTCTTTGATGCTGGGGACGGCATTGGCCTTAGGCATGGCGGCGTGGGAGAGATTGAAGAGGTCCCAGTAGGCGCAGAGGGGGAGTGGATGGGCGAGAGAGACATGACTGTCGCCCACCTGAACGAGAATGGAGAAAACGAGGGGGAGAGCGGGAATGGATTGGGGAAGGGAAAGTGGTCATGTGAGGCGCCAGGGAGAGGTTGAAGAGGTGCCAGTAGGCGCAGAGGGGAAGGGATGTGCGAGAGAGAGACATGGCTGTTGGAACGACAGCCCCGTGGCAGGCGTAGCATCAAAGCACGACAGCCCCGTGGCAGGCGTAGCATCAAAGCACGACAGCCCCGTGGCAGGCGTAGCATCAAAGCACGACAGCCCCGTGGCAGGCTGGGAGGAGAGGAGGGGTGCCAGTAGGCTCGGAGGAGGGGAGGATATTTCGATTTGGGGGGGCGGAGGAGAGGCAAGGAATTCTTGGGGCGGACGAGATTTGGGGGAGGGCTAAAAAGTGATGTCTCGTGATTAAGAAGAGGGAAGGACGAGAAGCATGGTGGAGGGAAGGACGAGAAGCATGGTGGAGGGAAGGACGAGAAGCATGGTGGAGGGAAGGACGAGAAGCATGGTGGAGGGAAGGACGAGAAGCATGGTGGAGGGAAGGACGAGAAGCATGGTGGAGGGAGCGGGGCTTTGGGAAGGGAAAGGGCAACGGAGCTGGCGCAGTTCTGACTTTTGAGTCGACACAAGTCACCAAGGGCAACGGAGCTGGCGCAGTTCCGGATTTTGTTTTGTGTGCGTGTGCATTGCAGCAGGGGTGCATGTGCCAGCTATCTCACCTTGGGCAGCACGAGAATGCGGCCGGACATGTGGGCTATCCGTGCTGCCGCCACCACATCCATCCGCGCGAGGGTGGTTTGCTTCTGTGTGGGTCAGCAGCACTGCCCTGCCAAGGCTTGCTCACTCACACAGGCATGGCCATCTCACCTTCGAGAGAACCAGAATGCGGCCGGACATGTGGGCTATTCTCGCTGCCTCCACCACATCCATCCGCGCATAAGTGGTTGGTTTGCCTGAGAAGCCAAGCACCAGGAAGCGAGGGCGAGAGACGGCCTGTAGTACACACAGGGAACAGGGGTGGGGGAAATGCGGAGCGAGGAAAGAGCGAAAGGTGGGTTGTATGGTACTGTTGAGCGTGGGTGGTTGGTTTGCCTGTGAAGCCAAAGACTGGAGAGGGAGGGCGAGAGGAGCTGTGCGATGGGTTGGGAGCAGGGGAAGGAAGATGAGTACAGGGTATTAGGCAGGTGGAAAGCGGGAAAGTATGGGTGGTGTGTGAAAAGCAGAGACATATTTCTAACATGGTGTGCGAGACTGAGAAGCCAAAGACCAGAAGGCGAGGGCGAGAGGGGCTCTGCTGTGCGGGGAACGGGGGTGGGGGAAATGGGGGGAGAGAGGAGAGAGGGAAAGGTGGGTGGTACAGGCGAGGGTGAGTGGCTTGCATGCCTGAGAAGCCAAACACCAGGAAGCGAGGGCGGGAGGGGCTGTGCTGTGGGTTGGGGGCAGGTGTGGGGGGAGAAGGGTGGGGGTAGAGGGAAAGGAGGTTGGTGTGGTACAGGCGAGCGTGAGTGGTGTGTTGGTCTGTGAAGCCAGAGACACGGAAGTGAGGGCGAGAGTGGGCCTGTAGCACACACAGCGGACACGGGTGGGGGAAATGGGGGGAGAGTGGGAAGAGGAAAGGTGGGTGGTCAGTGGGACACATCAGCAGGCGAGCGTGGGTGGTGTGCGAGGCTTTGAGGCCAAATACCAGGACGCGAGGGCGAGAGGCGCTCTGCTGTGGGGGGAAGAGGGGTCGGGGGAGATGGGGGGGAAGAGGGGTCGGGGGAGATGGGGGGGAAGAGGGGTCGGGGGAGATGGGGGGGAAAGAGAGAAAGGTGGGTGGTACAGGAAGCGAGGGCGAGAGGCGCTCGACAATGGTTAGGGTTGGAAGCAAGGCACGAGTGGGGTGGCCTGGGTGGGGTGGAGGTATGGCGAGGAGTCGGGTGCCAAGTGGATTACTCTGTTGCGGACAGGCCAGCAGGCGAGCATGGGATGGGTGGTGTGCTCTGCCTCTGCTCCACTTGGCAGTGAGTGACGCCCAACGGCAGGAAGCAAGGGCGAGAGGCGCTCTGCAATGGGTTGGGGGCAGGGGTGAGGTGAGGTGGAAGTATAGCTAGGGGGGTTCATACAGGCCAGGCGCCAAACATGCGATGGGTGGTCTGCTCCACTTGGCAGTGAGTGACGCCCAAGGGCGGGAAGCGAGGGCGAGAGCACTCACGTACGTGTGAGAGGGAGAGCGGCACTCCCAGACTGGTCACGGTGGTGCGGGTGGGATGCAGGACGCAATTGCGTCTGACAGGGGGCGAGGGACGGGGGCCAGCAGCACTCACGTACGTGTGAGAGGGAAAGAGGCACCCCGGGAACCGGCCAGCAGCTTTCAGGCCACTGCTTGCAGTTCTCTTGGCTCCCGCCACTCCCACCATCCCCACCCGCCCCGCCACTCTCGCCACTTCCGCCATTCCCACCACTCCCACCACTCTTATCGTCTGCACCACTCCCGGCGCCCCAGTGACAGCCGTCCGCCTGCCCTCCTCCCACCAGACGCCTCTCCATCTCCTTCACCCCCGCACACACTTCGTCTATACCCGCCTCAATGCCCTCTACCCCTGTCAGGTTCGCCGCTACAGCCGCTCGGATGTAGCTGCTGCCGGCAGCTCGTGCCAGCACGCCACGTTTCCAATCCTCGGAACACACCTGCCCCACCGAACCTGCCTGCTGCTCCGACACGTCAGCCTCGGTCGGAGGCTCGGTGTTGTCCTTAATAGGCTTGGTGGGTGGCTCGGTGTTGTTGCTTATACTAGCCTCCGTGGGTGGTTCGGTGGTGTTGTTAGCCTCGGATTTAAGCTTCGTTAGTTGCACCTTATCCTCCTCCCCCTCCTGCTCCGCCTTCTCCGCCTGCTCCGCCTGTTCCTCCTTCTCCCCCTTCTCCGCCTGCCCCCCCTGCTCCCCCTTCTCCTCCTTTTCCCCCTTCTCCGCCCCCCCCTGCTCCCCCTGCTCCCCACCCGCCCCCTGCGCCACCTGCTCCGCCTGCTGAGCGCGAAGGGCCAGCCGTCGAAAGGCCTCGAGGAGGCGTGTTCGACACGCGTCTAACTCCGCCGCACTTCCGCCCGCGGAAGACCGTGACCGACCTGCTGCCGTGCTGCTGCTACCAGAGGATATCTTCGTGGCGTTTGAGTCGGCGAAAGTGCTGTTACCGGCGAAATCAGGAAAGCTGTTGTCGGCCCTTTCGCGAAAGAGGCGGAGGCATGAATCGGAAATGCCGAGGAGGCTTATAACGGGAACGTCGCCGTGAGATGAACCTCCAAACGGAGGAGTACCAGAGACAAGGGGAGTAGCGGTGATAGGAACACTAGTGCTGCTGCTGCTACTACGAAAAGAAGGACCGCTGCTGCTTCTACTGTCGTCAACTAGCGCGCTCGGTGCTGCTTCGTTATGGGCTTCCTCGATAACAGCGATGTGGGGCAGGCGGAAGGAGACGGGGAACTCGAGGAAGAAGATGACGTGGCAGGCGAGGAAGAGCGCGACGACGATGACGGCGGGCTTGTGAATGGCGGAGGAGAGGAACGAGGGGAGGCACGACGAAGGCAGGGACGAAGGGAGGGACGAGGGAATGGACGAAGGCAGGCATGACGGCAGAGCTGAGACTGGGAGGGACGAAGGATGAAATGACGGGAGGAAGGAAGGCAGGATACTGGGAGGGTGGGAGTGAGGTCTCTTGGTGAGCGACGTCGTCTCGCCCGTCGCATGGGTCGCCCGTGCGACGGATTCACCGTCGCTCGCGTCCATTTCGCTGCGACGGAACGCGGGACGAGGCCAGTAAGCGAAACGGTCTCGATCCGGACTACGGCAGGCGGCACTACACTTCACCGACGGTCTAGCTGTTGAGTCGACTCAAAAGCACCATTCGATCGACGAAAAGCGGCTCTACATTCCGACGGTCTGCGGCATTACAGAGCTCGTCTGGTGCTTATTTAGCTTTCACTACTCTCAAAAGCGACGATAAAGAGGCACTACAAACTGACAGGAACCAGCACTCGGAGTCTCGGACCGACGGGTTTGCGGCGTAGAATGCGGTTATGGAAGCTCGTCTGATCTCTGGTTTGACATAGAATGCGAAATCTGCGTCGTGTCGCATCCCCACGACAGCAGGACCCAAGAGCATAGCTGTCAGTAAACGATCAGCTGACTACTACTAACATTCCCGTCCAGTCCAGTCCGGACTCCCGTGCGATGCCACACGGGCTGTGTTTGGTTCACGAAGCACAGTTTTCTAGCATCCTCCATAGCCTTGCTTGCTTCCCATGAAATCCCCATGTCGGAACAGAAGCGCGGGAAGATGAGTGCCTTGTAAGTTGTAGCCCACCTGTTGATTCTTGACAAGTCCTGTCCTGTGGAATGAATGGAGTGACGATTTGGTGTGTGCACCGCACTGCTGTCAGGAGCTGTCAGAGTGGGGTTGTCAGTCTCGGTATAGCACGCACGGTCAAAGGTATGAAATAACTATGGGGCATTGGTGGGTTTTATGCTCCTTGATTCACCCACATTGGCACCATTTTCTGCACAAACATGAAAAACGTTATGAAATAATATCATGCAAGGTGTTATGAGTTGTAAAAGAGAGTGCGCAGGTAAACGAATAACGAGACTGTGATTGAATGATCTGAGAATACAATGAAGGCACAGACTAATGTAGGAACTAGCCTAGCTAGGAGGGAACCTCGGACGAGCGAGGTTGGGTGCAGGTTTGACGATTGGGAAATGCCGAAGGCGACGCGAGGAGCCTCGGCAGCGTTGAAATCGGCCGAACGTGCAGAGATTGAAAATCGGGGCTGTACGCGAAGCAGTCAACCCCGACAAGGAATTCGAGAAAATTCCTTTCACTACCCCCCCCCCCCCCCCCCCCCTTAAGAAAGGCGGTCAATATCCGAAACACGCCTGCGCGCCAAGTAATCACGAACAAGTGACGAGGCGTCCGGCGAGTCGGAGTGCACCCACGTGTCGTCTTCACTGGTGCGATCAGTCCAACGGATGAGGAAATCCACGTGGCGACCAGCTGCGTCAAGGCGAACCTGATGTGCCAGAATCTTCGAAGGGTCAAGAGTCGGCTTGTTGCCGCGCGATGTCGGTTGTGGCTAGCACGAACTTTCGAAGCAGGCTGACGTGGAAGGCGTCATGAATGCGCCACTCGTCGGGTAGCAACAGCTTCGCGGTGACAGGTGTCACCATCTTGATAATCTTGAATGGCCCACGAAATCGTGGCCGTGGTTTCGACGGGCCAGGCAGGTGCAGGTTCTTCGTGTCAAGGAGCACTAGTTGCCCAGCTATCAAGACGAGTTCCCGTTGTCAGAATATATTTGATATATGTTCTGTATAAGCGCATGTAGTTCTAGCTGTAGTGTAGTCCCATTATTGTCCTGTGTGGTGGTGCACCACTCCTTGCATGCTTCTCCTCTATTTGTACTTGTCATTCTATAGTAGAAACCACTTCTTGTTGCACATCTCTCTCTCATGCCTAGGCTAAACCCTAGCTCCTAGTCCTAACTATGCATCTTAAGCCTAAGCCTAGTTTCCTAGGTGCTTAGTATCCTGACACCCGTCGTAGAAGGTCGGTGTATTTTCGGGAAGTGATATTCGCCTTGCGAATTGCATGTGCTGCTTTTTCGCGGACTTCCTGAAGTTCCGTCACAAATGTTTGTGACCTCGGGACCGGGTTGTCGAGGGTAGTCGCTGTAGGGACCGTCGGATCCATCCCGTAATTCAGGAAAAACGGGGAGTGATTAGTCGTGCTGGACGGTGCGTTGTTGAAGGCGAACTCCAACATGGCGAGCGATTCTTCCCAGCGGGCAGGGTCGGGGCAGTTTGTCCTGATCAGCTGCTCCATGGTCTGATTGGTCCTCTCGGTCTGGTCGTCTGTCTGTGGGTGGTATGCCGATGAGAACTGTAGTTTCGTGCCGTACTGTGCCCATGTCTCCTTCCAAAATTTCGAAGTGAACTTCGGGTCGCGGTCGCTGATGATTTGCCGAAGGGATTCCGTGCAGTCGCACGACCGTTGAGATGAAGAGGCGCGCAGTTTCTTCGGCTGTGATTATGGTACGACATGGTGCGAAGTGCGCCATTTTCGTGAAACAATCAACGACGACGAGAACATCGGCTCTACGGACTCGTCCGAAGGTGGAGCTGAGAGCGAGGGGCCGGTAGCCAGAGGAGTGGGCTGTGGTGAGGAGTACGTGAAGCGGAAGCGCTGAAGGACCTGGTGCACCATGTGTGACTGAGTCAGGGTGATGGTGCGCCGTGCTCTGTCCCGGGTGATCTGCAAGCCAAGATAGCTCCGCAGCTCACCCAGGTCAGTGCAGGTGTGTCTCTCCTGCAGCTCCGCCTTCACTAGGGCCAGTGCCTCAGTGTCAGCAGTAGCAAAAACCAAGTCGTCAACGTACACGAGGATGTAGTACGGAGGCAGAGAATTGTCGGTGCGTAGAAACAGCGACGGGTCAGCAGTCGAAAGAGCAAACACAAGAGCCGCAAGTGTCGTCCTCAGTGTGTCGTGCCACTCGCGGGGCGCCTGACGCAGGCCGTACACTGGTCGCCGTAGGCTCCACTGGGTACCTTCAGGAAACGACCCAGTGAAGCCCTGTGGACGGCGCAGCCAGATGGCCTCGTGAAGGCTACCCTGTAAGAAAGATGTCGAGAAGTCGAGGGAGTGCAGCTCGTAGTCACGCTGAGCTGCAACGTGTAGCAACACCCGAAGAGTGGTCATCTTCGGGGTGGGGGAGAAGGTCTGAACGAAGTCGACCCCCTCACGCTGACTGAAGCTTCGAGCAACATAACGTGCCTTGAAGGCAGGCGGAGAACCCGGCGGCCGCTTCACCCTGAAAATCCACATGCCACTGACGATGTTCGCCCCAGGTGGGGGAACCTCGTCGACGTAGGTGCCTGTGGGCTTCCAGGAAGCCATCTCTGCGTCCATGGCTGTCTGCCACTGAGAGGAGTACTCACCCGAAATCGCCTCCTTGTAGGAGCGCGGGGTGGGGATGTCAAGTGCATCTGGGTCTCCCTCAGGGGCAAGCAGCATGGACGCGTGATGGGGTGAAGCGGCAGCAAGGCACTCCAGCTCCTCCTGTCTGTCCTCAGGAATGTCACAGCCAAGGGCAGTACAGCCAAGAGCAGTCTCACCCCCGACGGACGGAGGACAGGCAGGGACAGGGTCAAAGACAAGACTCGCAAGGTAGTCTAGGCGGTACACAGCAGCAAAGTCAACGAGCCCAGCTACTAGGGCAGACGCAGCAGGAGACGAGAACGTAGGGTCCGTCACAACCGTAGCAAGAAGGCGAGTAACAGTCGAACTGGGCGCACGAGCGAGGTCAGACGGAGGGTCAGCAACGTCAGGCAAAGAGGACGCAAGAGGTAACGGTAGGACAACACGCTGAGGAACAGAGGAAGGACGGAGTGTCATATCGTGAGTGCCGGGGACAGCCGGAGCACGCGGACGACGAACACGAGGAACAGAGCACGGACAACAGCTCTAGGCTCAGGCTCAAGGTCAAAGCTAGACTCAGGCTCTCGACGCTCAGGGGTGGAAGCACGAGTCTCAGGCTCTCGACGCTCAGTCAGGGACTCTGACACTGCAGTGTAAGGAGCAGGAGCAGGCAGTGGGGAGTGTGGTAGCAGTGGCGGCTGTGACTGGTCCGCCGGTGGACACAGCAACGGAAGAGTAGTACCTGCCACAGGGAAGCCAGTAGCACCTAGCTGAAGACTGAGAAGGTGGCGAAGGGCACTAGTAGCTCCACCAGGACCTCCAACACCTCCAGCACCTCCAGCCCCAGCAGATCCAGCACCTCTAGCACCTCCAGCACTAGAAGCACCAGAAGCTCCAGTACCCCTAGCACCTCCAGCACCAGCAGCACCTCCTGCACCTCCAGCACCAGCAGCTCCACGGCCTCCAGCACCAGCAGCACTTCCAGGACCTCCAGCACCAGCAGCTCCAGTACATCTAGCACCTCCAGCACCAGCAGCACCAGCAGCTCCAGTACCCCTAGCAACTCCAGCACCTCCAGCACCAGCAGCTCCACGACCTCCAGCACTAGTAGCACCTCCAGTACCTCCAGCACCAGTAGCTCCAGGTCCTCCGGTAGGAGCTCCGACGACACCAACACCAGAAGGACTCGCAGCACCCCCAGAGTCAGCACCCGAACTCGCAGCACCCCCAGAGTCAGAACTCTCGGTCTCAGCACTCTCAGGCTCAGTACCCTCAGTCCCAGCACTCTCAGGCTCAGCACCCTCAGTCCCAGCACCCTCAGGCTCAGTACCCTCAGTCCCAGCACCCTCAGGCTCAGTACCCTCAGTCCCAGCACCCCCAGGCTCAGTACCCTCAGTCTCTGCTCCAGTGTCCACAGCAGCAGGCTGCACAGGCGGCGAAGACGGCAGAGGTGGGAACCCGGGGGGAGTAGCGAGACGAGGAGAGCGGGCACCCCCAGACTCACCACCCCCAGCCCCAGCTCCAGTAGTCTCAGCTCCAGAGTCCACAGCAGCAGGCTGCGGAGGCGGCGAAGACGGTCGTGGCGGGAAACCCGGGGGGGTCTCCAAGCGAGGAGTGCGGCGAGTGGTCGCCGTGTTGTCGGCGACGGCGTCACCCCCCTCAGCTGAGTCAGAGGAGTCAGAAGAGATCTCAACTGGCTCATCCACGGGGGTGGGTCTACCTGAGACACACCTGAGGGAGCAGGACCCTATGGGGGAAGGGGGTCTACCGGGGGGGGGGACTGGTACCAGGAAGAGAGGTGCGAGGGGGACCG